TTTGCTGCCTCACCTGGTGATCGTGTTATTGTTGAATGACTTCTTGTAGTCAAGTAGTCAACAGAGCCACAACACAAGTGAGTATCTTGGTTATCTTGAGATGATTTCGGGGCTTTTTTAGTGTCCCCGCGGCCCGGTCCTCGACCAGGCCTCCACCCCCACGAAGCAGCCCGTGACAGCTGACTAACACCCAGGTTCCTATTTTACTGCTAGGTAACAGGGGCATAGGGTGAAAGAAACTCTGCCCATTGTTTCTCGCCGGCGCCTGGGATCGAACCCAGGACCACAGGATCACAAGTCCAACGTGCTGTCAGCTCGGCCGACCGGCTCCCTTTGGCAAAGGCAAAAGCTTGCTCTGGTTTCTGTGTTTTTTAAGACCATTAAGCCATACAACCCGTCCTCCTACAAAGAACGTCGCATTTCGCACGTATGTGTTTACACAAGGGCCAACAATTGTCTTAATAGAAAATGGAAGCGGCTGGCGAAAGTGACGTACTGTCCCGTTTTCTGTTTTGGGTCCTCGGGTAGGTTAGGATAAGGACACTTTAAATTGACCGTTTACTTGACGTTGTGAAACCTGAGGAGGACGGGCTGGTTATATATACACGGAGGCCTCCTGCAGCGTCGTGCTGAAGTGTGGCATCATACAAGGGTGTCGTCATACAAGGGTGTCGTCATACAAGGGTGTCGTCATACAAGGGTGTCGTCATACAAGGGTGTCGTCATACAAGGGTGTCGTCATACAAGGGTGTCGTCATACAAGGGTGTCGTCATACAAGGGTGTCGTCATACAAGGGTGTCGTCATACAAGGGTGTCGTCATACAAGGGTGTCGTCATACAAGGGTGTCGTCATACAAGGGTGTCGTCATACAGGGTGTCGTCATACAGGGTGTCGTCATACAAGGGTGTCGTCATACAAGGTGTCGTCATACAAGGTGTCGTCATTCTAGATGTCATCATACAAGAGGCGCCGGGTGCCCCCTCTGGCACAGCTAGTGGCTGCCTATTTAGAAGATATGGATCCTTGCACACTCATCACTGGGTGATCAGAGTTCTCAAGTGGTTTTCACTTTGTAATGATAACAGAGATACATAATGATAATGGTGATTAACAATGCATTACTATACAACACGTGGCTGCAGTTGTATCTAAACTTCTCAATACAGTCTAGTTTCCTCCCCCCTCCGCCCCCCCAAAAATGTATTAATATACGAAAGTACTTAAGGAAATTCCTGTTTCAACTCTTCCTCCGTGGTCTGACAGATATATATATATATATATCTATATATATATATATATATATATATATAGCGATAATATATATATATATATATATATATATATATATATATATATATATATATATATATAACTGAAAACTCACACCCCAGAAGTGACTCGAACCCATACTCCCAGAAGCAACGCAACTGGTATGTACAAGACGCCTTAATCCACTTGACCATCACGACCGGACATAATGAGGTGATAGCCGAGGCTATTTGAACCACCCCACCGCCGGCACTCGGATAGTAATCTTGGGCATAGCATTTTACCAAATCACCTCATTCTTTGGGGCACACGTGAGGAACACAAATGCGAACAAGTTTTCAGTTGCATATTGTCCTGGGGACCATTCAGGCTTGTTCGCATATATATATATATATATATATATATATATATATATATATATATATATATGCGATCTCATAAGGCGAGCGATGACTTGGGTCCACTAGAGGCAGTGTTGTGATGTGTGTACAAGGTGGACACAACAGCTTCTCACACTGAGATCTGTCAACCAAGTCACGAGTCCCAACTGTACGCTAATTGGCTCCAAGAAAAAACTTGCCGTCTTGCAGACAATTCCCAGAATGTCGTTATAACTTAAATAGTTAATTGTGATATTTCATAGCACCGCTGGTTACCTGTTGTAGCTGTGTTTCGTTATGTGCTCGTGTGTGTACGCCTGTAGTCAGTGTGTTCAGATGGTCAATAATAGTTATGTATATGTTGCTCTTCAAGGCACCCTTATCGGTAATACACAATGCCAGGATGAGTTAAATAGCCCACGCGATCAAGTGATGGATGTGACCACACACAGAGATCACACTAACGTATCCTGTCGTAGCTCAGTCGATTAAGGCAGTGTCTGAGATGCTCCCGGACGCAGGTTCGAATCCTCGTCACGGCCCTTGTGGATTTGTTCGATGGATGTGACGTCAGAGGACCGTCGAGTGCCAGCTTTTCTCTAATCGGAAATATATATTTGTACACATAGGGAACACATCATACAGTTTGTCCAAACAAATCATCAACAGAATAAAATATATCTTAGCAGTTAGATTGAATTAAGCTGGTGCATAACTCTCACAGGGGTAGAATAACGCCAGCCAGGATATTCGCCCTTTATAATCAGGATTATCCTAAAGGTTCACGTGAATATACGGGTTTAGAAGATGGCAGAAGTTGAGGAAAATTGTGAGGAGGAGGAGTTGTAACAGATGAGTGTAGTGGCAAGGGAGGCAGAGGAGCTTCCTGGGAACGGTTGGGGATGGGCGGTTCTATATGAAGAAAGCTACAATCACCACCCGGTTACGAGCTCACCATAGCCCGTGCTACATGGACACTTCGTTCTTAGTAACTAAATCTAGAACAACATCACACGCAGAGAGCCCAGAGACACTTCAAGACCAAAGATCACATTCACTCCAAAAATCTACCACTTACGGGCTACTCATGCCCGTGTCGCCTCTTGGGCGTCTTAGTCTTCATCAGTCAAGCAATCACCACCCGTCACCCCTCCCCCGAAACCCCCCCTCTCTCAATTCCCCCACACTCCTGACTAACCAATTACCGCTGTGTTTCCCCTGTGGCGCGCTAAAGCTGATCTCATCACAACCAGGCCATAAACGGGCCCTTACCTTCTAAACATATGAAGGTGTTCCACTCTGTCTTTGAAAGATTGGTACATTATTTTTCCTGGTATAATATATATTTTAACGTTGCTCTGACCCAAACTATATATATATATGTATATATACTGTATAGGGTTATTATAAGAGATTTCTTGTTAACCATTAAAGCTGTTGGCGTTTTATCTCATAATCAGGTTCTTGCTTATCCGTATGCAGACGAGGAGTCACAATAACGTGGCTGAAATATGTTGACCAGACCACACACTAGAAAGTGAAGGGACGACGACGTTTCGGTCCGTCCTGGACCATTCTCAATTGGATTGTGAGAACCCTTCACTTTCTAGTGTGTGGTTTGGTCAACAGGTTCTTGTTGCTTGATAAACATATGGCATCACTAATCACCGAATTTTAACAACACTTCCACTGTTGTAATTATAATGGTGGCGCTAGGCTGTTGTTAATATTCGTTTCATAAATTCGTTAACAATATACTTGAATTTTGTGAACCAAGTCAGTTATATATGTACAACTAATTATGAGTAAAGTTAGTGATTGAATTCATAGGTACTGAAAGGTTACTCGTGTGTTTACAACCCTCCAGGTTAAGGGTGACAGCATTTTTATATACACAGCTGTGGGACACTCCAGGTGGCACCTCCATGTGTGTAGCTAAACAGTGGTGGTAGAGAAGGGTTGGTGGCACTATTACCACCACTGCCAGCTTTATAAACCCTCACTAACTAAACAGTGTAAAGGGTTGGTGTTTGACGAGGGCATCCATGATGGCTGACCTTGAGTCAGCTTTAGGAAATGTAGACGTTTATCTCTCCAGAATGTTTGGTAATATGTTTATTGTTTGTGATGTGTGTATATGTATGTATTTACACGATGTACTGAACGGGGTGAGAATAGCTTGAGCTACTTCATTTCTTTGTGGGTATTTTACCTCAATAAACTTATTTCAATTGAGTCAGCTGTGTTGACCAGGTAGTGGAGATGAATCACTTGATGTCATCGCATCCGTGTTGGTGTTGTCCGAACCGAGGATCAAGCGTTGTTTAGTTAGTTTATACCGAGCAGCCCTGACCTTTTAGCGTTGGTAAATATCAGAGGTTGCAGGTCAGCACGTAATAATTGGCGGGAGCGCCGGCCGGTCAAACCGTACCCCTCTATTAATTGACAAAAACACACAACTCATTTGTGGGGGGACTGAGGTCGGCCGACAGTCGATATACCCCAAGACAGGAGTTCAATGTAAACTTGAAGATTAAGTTAATTCATGTCATTTCACGTGGGAATGTTGTTATCCCTTGTACTGCCTCGGTACTCGCCAAGTTGTGCTTGTGGGGGTTGAGCTTCGGTTCTTTGGTCACGCCTTTCAACCGGTGTACAGGTTCCTGAGCCTATTGGGCTCTTATCATATCTGCATTTAAAACTGTGTATGGAGTCTGCCTCCACCACATCACTGCCTAATGCAGTCCATTTGTTAACTATGACACTGAAAATGTTCTTTCGAATGTCTGTCTCTTGCTCATTTGGGTACTAAGTTTCCACCTGTATCCTCTTGTTCGTGTACGACCATCGGTGACAGCTATGGAGTATGAGAAGGGATGAAATTATATCCTGTAATAATGACTTAAGGGGAAATTGCTACTGCATAGTTTTAATAGATTCAAGTTGTATCCATTCATAAAACGCACCAACATTGGGCTGTGAAAAGTCTGTTTTTTACTGTCTGACCAAACATTTTGTTGAATTCCAAGTCAGAAGGAGGATAGTACGGCTGCTTTCCATCCCCCTCGCTACACCATTTTGTAGGTGAGGCAATGTATCATATGTGATACTGTAGCGTAGGTGAGGCAATGTATGGTGGGTGAGACGATACACTCGCATTGGAGTGGGAGTTTCGTGAGTGCATGATTTATCCTTCTCCCACTCACAACGATACAGACAGACTAATAAGTAATAACTGACAAACTCTTGGTAGTGTGTTGTGAGGGGATGAGAGAGAGACGGACGCCTGCCCCCGATACGGTCACCCGTCATACTCGTGTCCTGTCTCTAAAGCATCTCTAATTTTCAGTGTGACATGTAAATGGTGTTAACGAGTGTTTAATGAAGTGAGTGACGATGCGGGTAGTGCCGGGTGGAGTGAGTGCGCGAGGCTTGGCGCGGGCCGGTGCTTTGAGCCCCAGTGGAGGCAGGTGGTGACCGCTCCGCTGCCTCCTGCATCATGGGTCTCACTGAGAGCAACCAGAGTAAGGCCGCCGCCGGCTGGGGACCCAGCAAGTCCCGCAGTACCCCACACTTTCCTGACGGTCGTTCCTATCAGAACCGTCCCCGACAGGCGGCCACCTTACCGGCACGACCCACTCCAGACAGCAGCCATCCCCCGCCCTATAACCTCCCTCGCACTCCCATACACGACCCGGGTGCCATGGGCCACGACCCACGACCACCCGAAACAGTCTTATGCCGTCGAAATGGCTCCTCACTGGCAGATCGAAGTCCTGGACATCGATCCATGCCCCCACGTCGCTCTGCCTCGGCTGACAGCGTCAAGCGGAGGTCGGACCCGCTCCTAGACTCTGGAACCCTGAAACAGACGCCCCAGATGAAGCCTCATCAGTGTGAGAGCTTCACCGTGTTACCCTCGCACCGCCCACCCATCTCTCCACCTTCAAGTCCTCGTCAGAACTGCCGACCGCGACCCACGGCAATATATGTGGCAGACGACCAAGCTGCCCACTTGGTGAGGCACCGCGAAGGACGCCCAAGGGAGCGAGGGCATAGTCGCGGGCCACACGCAGGCACCCGCGGGTTGCCTGGGGAAGAGGGCAGGGAGAGGGCGCGAAGTTCGTGTGAGCGGCGACAGCGAGGCGTCCACGTCTCCACCATGACATTGGCGCCAGTGTGTCCAGGAGAGCCTGGAGACGACCAGCCGCGACCCGCCCCACGCCACCACAGGAGGAAGAAGAAAGAGACTAAGAAGGCGCGAGAAAGAGTAGAGTACAGTGCGTCGGAGGGCTTGCAGGGTGACCCGTATGTGTGCCTACACTACGGTGGCACTCTCCATGGTGGCCAGAGGCAGCAGGTGCAACAGGTAACAGCCTGGCGCACCGACCATGAAGAAGAAAACGTCAGCAGTCCCAACAATCAGCTGTCACAGGTGGTTATCCGCATGAACCAGGTGTCTGCCACCACGCTTGACAACTATGACGCCGTCAATGCCAACGTGGAATGTGTACAAGTGAGGAGGAATGTTTGGTTTCATGCCAACCGAACTACTGATGTGGGCGGCGAGAGTGTGTCAAGAACCGCCGCTAAAGTCAGCAGTTCACCGGCCCTGAGTGACAACACTACGTTAGATGGACAGAGTGAGACAGAAATTATAAGGTGGCCAGACGTCACCAGCAAAGTGTCGTCCATTTACATGAGGCCAGAGATGCACATCGCGGCAGTGTCGTGCATCGAGGAGGGTCAGGAGGCTACCTCCGGCCGTGTCGACCCAGCAGGCAGCCACACAACTACTTCCTGCCGCACCTCATCAGGTGCTTCAGAGCCCGCCCATCTTGACTCAAGTGGCCGTGACCGCGAGAGTGTGAGGATCAGGGCGTTGGAGAAGCAGGGCGCAGGTAACTCGGGTCACGGAACAGCGCGACAGTTTAGCATATATGACGACAGAAGAAACTATTCCAAAGCTCCAGGAAGAAGAAAGAACAAATCTGTGTTGGTCTCAATCGATCTGCAGAAGAGTGAAGAGGAAAGGCTTGTATCTGTTCCCTCCTGCAATTCCACACACGTTGAACTTTCTTCTCGGTTTAAGGACGAACCACCTACAGACTGTGTCGTGGTCAAACATTCACGGTCGCCCGATGAGAGTCGAGAGCAGACTGACAATTACGTAGAATGTTCCAGTAACGTCCAAGATGATCCCTACGATGGCGGCTCGCCCGCTGAGACGCTGAGTAAATATCTCCCTCCAAGCAAGATCAAAATTGAGCATAATTTAGTTGGCTCACAAAGGACAGAAGTTGTTGATAACAATGATACTTTCCCAGATAATCTTCAGAGTAACGATGCGGTTGAAAGGTTACCGGACAATTTTTGGTGTCAAAATAACATTGACAACTTGCCAAACAAATCCCTGCATAACTTGGAACTAAAAAATCACGATGAGGATTATGTCATGGAAGAAAATAGGGAAATAGATAACTATTACGTGTGTGGAGATAATGAGCAGGAGCCCGTTGAGTCATGTACGGTAGCAAGAGGCAGGTCTGAGCCGGTATCTCTCTCAAGAGGCAGGTCCGGTAGTGTGCGGGAAGAGTCGGTATGCGAGGCGGCAGGAGATAATGTACCCGTGTTCTGTGATAGTGTTGATAAAGACGTTGGTGCGGATAGTCACTGGTGCGGAATAAACAGTTCATTGTGTGCGTGGAGCGGGCCGGAAGAAGTTACGGGATGTTCTCCGTCAGGAGTGAAGGACACTCCTGAAGGGGCTTCTGACACACGCGTCACACACGCTGGGAATGCTGATCAACACTTGCACAAGGACCAGTGTCCTCTACAGTGTAATATTTGCTCTACAGAGGACCAGTACGGATGCGTGGATCAATCAGAAAGCAGAGCATATATAGAAGCCCTCCAGGTGTTAAAAGAGAAGTACTGGGCGGATACAGTGTCAGAATTCCCAAGTGCGTTATCCCGTAGCCATCAGTGCCTCAATAAGTCGACTTCGTTGCCACGAAATCTCCAGTGCACCAACCCAAGTGCCACCCATTCCATCACAGCTGAAAATAAGATGAAAGGGTTTAGAAATAGATTTAGAAGTTTAGATGTTAGTAATTTTTCAGTGTTGCGACTTCCGCTCGGAAACCAGCCTCGACTCGTTGACGTCCTTAGGGGAACTTCGACCCAGGGCGAGTTGTCTCCCGACCCGCCCCAGGGGACGATCCCGGGACACGAGTGTCACGTGTACAACACTGGCAAAGTTCACAAGCTGCATTCTGGTGACGAGTGTGTGAGTGACGCTGACTCGTCGTGTGATGGCGTTACATTAGTGTCTTATTCTCAGTGCTGGCCTTCCCCACCGCTCCTGGCCAGGGAAACACGCGGCAACGGTTGTGACACCTTAGTGGGTGGAGAGAGTGACGCCGCCGCTGATGGTGAGGGAGTGGGCAGTCCGGTGTGTGATGACCCTGGGGCGGAGGGCGAGCCTCACCTCTTCCTGGAGGACAGTGACGTGGCCACCATAAAGAAAAGTGATGCAAGAGAGTTGCAGGTGGGGCGTGAGGAGGAGGAGGAGCGGCGCTGGCCAGGTAATGACCCTAATGGTCACTCCTGGAAGCCAGCACAGACGAGGCGACGCGGGAACACCATAGGTGGTGGTTCTCACACCTGGCACTCACTGTCTGAGAATGCCACCCACACCTGGCACCCGGGCACGGGAGGTCAGGGTGTTAGGCCATGCTCCATCAAGGAACAACACGTGTCCTTGCCACAAGTTCCTACAGCATTGCCTAACATCACCACAGACTTCCCCATTACCGAGGAGGTGGATTTCTTGGACATGTCTCACCCACCTGGCCGGCATGCCCACAAGAAGTGGAATCGGCCGAGCGTCCACTCCATAGCCTGGGACACGCCTTGGCCCGCTGCTCCAGGTAAGTGCGACTTCCTGAGTGTGTCTTGTTCACTAATATAACACACAATCTCCAGGCATTTCTCTCGGTGAAACGGTAAATTTACTCCAGTAATGTAACATGTCTCCCGGTGTACCATGTGATCATAACTGTTGAGGGACCCACCCAGGGGGGGGGCAACTGTTTGTCACCCAGGCAGCAGGTGACAAACAGTTGCCCCCCCCCCCCCCCCCCCCCCCGGGGGCAACTGTTTGTTAAAAATAAGGCAACATGGGTTGTTAAAAATAGATATTTTGTCAACTCGTGTAGAGTAAGTGTATTCTAGACTGGTGACAATCAGTGGTGATGGGTGGTGGTCCGTGTGGGAGAAGTTGTGTGGAGGACCTGAACGTGGCGCTGACAGGTGTGAGTATTACGGTGTGTTATTGGCAGGTAGCTGAGTGCACGAAGTACCTCATGGTAGGTGTAAGTGGGTAGGGGTTACCCCGAGTCAGAATCTTATCTACATTGCAATCCTTATACACATGATGACTGTTTCTATATTTCATTAGTATTAATGGTTTACAAATAGATTAAATGTTGTGTGATGGTAGCCAGGCATCACAGACACGGCTATTTGCCAGCCATAAAGTGTGAAAGTGGCAGTTACGGTGACCACCGAACCTGCTCGCGTCCACCTCTGCTGATACTCAATTTTATAGGCCGCCTCGAGGCCCCAGCAGTGTGTGGATGGGATCTCTTGGCCCCCTTCCTTCCATCCATCGCTGCTGCCGGCGCCCCCACGTCTTGGCACACACACATTATTCTCGGTTCTATCAGTAATCTCCTCCTCCCCTTCAAAGAATACTTGGATGGTGGCAGAGGATGAGAGTGGAATGTGGCAGAGGTCACGGATAACGTCAGGTAGATGTTGTTGTTGTTGTTTATAGATTCAGCTACTCGGAACAGATTCAAAGTAGCACGGACTATGGTGAGCCCGTAGTGGACTTGCCTGGCACAGGAACGGTGCTGAATGAGTGTGTGTGGTAGATACGAGGGTAATGGTATATAGCTTGAGAAGGTCAGGGGTAGAGCACTATCTACCAATGCTTGTGCTATAGAGCACTATCTATGGTGAGCAAAGTTCCCCATATTAACCCAACATCCAGCTCTCCTGTGTGTGCCGGCCGGTCCCCATACTTTCCACCTCCTCCAAAAGTTACCACCTTCGCCCTATTATATATATACACAAACATATCCACCGCCGTTTTAACCGTATTCTCCAAAGACTGCGTAGCTATTTGAAGCATTGTAAATAGACTTATATCGGATTAAGAGAAGCACCCCGAGTACAGGAGTGTTTATTTTAAGCATTGATCCTATCAAGAAATAGTTCAGCTGTAGGGTGAGAGGCGGTGACGCACTGCGCCTCCCCGACCTCTCGCATATCTTCTCTACTCATTACGGCATCTCTTAAGTCCGGAAATGAAGCTGCAGATCCATCAGTATTTTGTAGTTGCAGCGAAAGATTCGGAGGTGACGAGGCGGGATCTGAGGAGACCTTTGGAGGGGTGGTTGTGAAGACTCTGGGGGAGGAGGAGGGTGTGGTGGGAGGGAGGGAGGGATCGGGTTGCAGGTGGGAGGGGTGCAAATATAGGTGGAGGAAGAGGTAGGGGAGGCAGGCGAGCAACGTGTCCCCGACGCGATCACTGGAGCCGGGGCCAGAGCACTTAACCCTCGGCCGTAAATGTGTGTTAGGCAGTTTCATGGCAACGCTTGCCTGCTAGCTTGTGTGTGTGTGTGTGTTGCTGGTCTCCCGTGATATACTTATTTATTGTGTCATCTTGCACCACCACGTTCCCCTACACTCCCTCCCTCAAGCTTAATTAGGTGAGAACATTCTGTCTCTCTGTCTGTCTCTCTCTGTCTCTCCCTCTCTCTCCCCCTCCCCCCGCCCCCCAGTGGGCCGGCATGGTATACATAACGGCATCTGGTGTCAGCAGACGGCACCATCCAGGTAAACACGGCAAAGGTCACCCCACACAGTTTGCCTTCCATTACCTCTCTTCCCTTTCTTTCCCCCTCTCCCTCTTTCCCTTCCCTCTCTTCACCTCCCCCTCCCTATCTTACTCCATCCTTATTACAGTGGTGGAGATGTTCTTGGGCGCCAGCTGTCTCCTGAGAGTGTACCAGCACTTTGGTGAGAGAGAGAGAGAGAGAGAGAGAGAGAGAGAGAGAGAGAGAGAGAGAGAGAGAGAGAGAGAGAGAGAGAGAGAGAGAGAGAGAGAGAGAGAGAGAGATAGAGATAGAGATAGAGAGATAGATAGATAGAGTAGAGAGAGATAGAGAGATTGAGATAGAGAAATAGAGAGAGAAAAGATATAGAGAGAGAGAGAGACAAGTTGCAGATGTGGTCCGAATAAGGACTATTAAATTTAAACACCAGCAGGTGTAATGCAACTAAAATTGCAACAGGTTCGAGGATACCAACAGGACAATACATAGTGAAGGGAACTATCGGGGGGGAAAGCGCCAAGCCGTTACGACTATATAGCCCTGGGAAGGGGTCAGGATAAGGATTTGGGATGGGAAGGGGGGGGGGAAGGAATGGTGCCCAGCCACTTGGATGGTCGGGGATTGAACGCTGACCTGCATGAACCGAGACCGTTGCTCTACCATTCAAGCCAAGTGGTTGGACATATAATGAAGGGGAACGGAGGTCACGACCTCTCCGTAGGGTGCAGTCGCACCTCCACAGATCCCCAGTATCAGCTAATGATACTGGTAATGGCTCCAAAGGGCCACCACTTACGGGCTATTCATGCCCGTGCCACCTTTTGAGTGGCTTAATCTTCATCAATCAATCAATCGTCCGTAAATCTGGCAGAGGGCAGGACCTGGGAGTAGACATAACACCAAGTTTTCCCCGAGGCGCGTGTATGAAGGACAGTGTCCGCAGCATGCTTTAAACTGACCAACATGAGAACACCATTCAGGTACCTCAGCAAGTTGGCACTCTTACAGGTGTTGTGCAGGAGCTGACTGCACAGTACCTGTGTGAAGCCAGGTGAAGAGCGTGCAGCCACACCGTGGAGCCGCCACCTCAAAAATTACATACAGGAAATCTGAAAAGGTACAGAGGTTTGCAACGAGGTTCGTCCTAACATTACGTGGGATTTGCGTATGAAGGACTAAAAGAGCCGGACCTAACATTGTCAGGAGAGTGGAGAGTGAGAGGAAACATGACATTGACATGTAAAATCCTTAGAGGGAGTGGCAGAATGAGAAAAGCTGAAACGTTCGCAATGAACACCAGTTGAATGGACAAAAGCGGTGGTGGAAGCTTGAGAAACAGATGGAGATAAAAAGATGTTAGAAAATATTTTAGCTTAAGAATACCACAATGTAATAATTTTTGTTCCCGGGTAGTGTTATTTTCTGATTGCTTATGCCTCCTAAGTCTAACCCCTTGGACTGGACGGTAGAGCGACGGTCTAGCTTCATGCAGGTCATCGTTCAATCGCCGACCGTCCAAGTGGTTGGGCACCATTCCTTCCCTCCGTCCCATCCCAAATCCTTATCCTGACCCCTTCCCAGTGCTATATAGTTGTAATGGCTTTCGTTTTCCCTTGATAATATAATATAATTATGCCTCCTAATTATAGAAAATGGCTATCATTTCCCCCTCAAACTCTGCTTTGGCCTTTAGCCAAGACAGCTTGGTGAAGAAGTCTTCAAGGTACCTGGAGGCTGCCGACTTCTTATCCAAGAGTTAGCAGCCTTCAGTTACTATTTCCTCCTTATCTACCCAGGACAAAAATTGTTGCACAGTGTACTAGAAAAAAATGGAATAAACGTACCGAGCAGGATGTAGAAGTCTGCTGTATTCATAATTTATAAATTAGTTATGGTAGAAAGTTACGTCAGGAGTCATTGCATTAGACAAACTGGCTACTAAACAGAGTTGAACTGAAGTTCGATCGTACAGACACAAATATTTGAGAACACTCGCGCACTTTGGAAAATGCTCCTCTCTGTTAATCTGAAATTCTTTATTCAGATTCAGGATAAGAAAGAAATTGTTAAGGTATGTATGTATATATATATATATATATATATATATATATATATATATATATATATATATATATATATATATGTCGTACCTAGTAGCCAGAACTCACTTTTTGGCCTACTATTCAAGGCCCGATTTGCCTAATAAGCCAAGTTTTCCTGAATTAATATATTTTTTCTAATTTTTTTCTTATGAAATGATAAAGCTACCCATTTCATTATGTATGAGGTCAATTTTTTTTTATTGTAGTTAAAATTAACGTAGATATATGACCGAACCTAACCAACCCTCCCTAACCTAACCTAACCTATCTTCATAGGTTAGGTTGGGTTAGGTTGCCGAAAAGGTAGTTAGGTTAGGTTAGGTATGTTAGGTAGTCGAAAAAACATTAATTCATGAAAACTTGGCTTATTAGGCAAATCGGGCCTTGCATAGTAGGCTGAGAAGTGAGTTCTGGCTACTAGGTACGACATATATATATATATATATATATATATTATATATATATATATATATATATATATATATATATCATATTATATCTCTTCCCCCCTCCTCTGCCGCTCGCTCTCTTGTTACAGTTGGGTGTTTCTCCGTCATAACTCCGGAGCGCGCGCCGCGGGATGAAACGTGGCAGCGAGACGCCATAGCGTGTGATAGATGTTTATCCCAACGTCAGGGTTGGCCTGGCCAAATAAAGAAAGGTCGCCCTCATCTCATTTTCGTAAAACCTCGCACTCTGGGGGTTACCTCCCTCACACGTCTGGCGTGTGTGGTAGCCGGAGACTGTGTATATACACACACACACACACACACACACACACACACGCACACGCACGCCATGCAAATATGGACTCAAGTTACGTATAGTGCTTTTTTGTAGACATTCTCCCATCAGCTCCACGACTCCCCCCCCCCCCCCCCCTCCCCGTGTCACTTTTTGATGCCGAGGAAATAAGTGTGAGTA